GTAATCACCTGCTTGTGCACAAAGTTAGTTAGGGCACTTTCGCCACATCATTTGACTGCTGCATTGCACCAAAATCTGCTTCACGTCGTTGTGGAGCTCCGGCGCTTGTGTTCAAATGACAGAGTCCGACTGATGCTTTATCTAATGCTGCAGAGCAAAGGTGGTAGAAGCACAATACATCAACCTGCCATGGTCAATAGGGTACTTCACCCAGTCTTAACACATCACTGTATGCTTTCCACCCAAGAGACTTCACACAGAAATGCAGAACTGTGTTAAGGTTTTCCATCTGCTCTTAGACAAAATCATTTCACATTACTGTGTGACTGCAATGTATTGTCTTACTGATATGCGTACTAGAATCTACAAGGAAGTACTTACAATTTGCTTCTAATGCTTCTAATTAAAATAAAAAGAGTGTAGCCAGATAAATTACTCTTTCAGGTTGTTTGTGATTACTAGTATTTTTGTTAAGGAGATGCCAGTGACTGCTCTTTTTCTCGAGGCCAGCATTGAAGTTAAGAAAAATAAAGCAGTATTTGATTAATCGAGGATTTATTTACCATTAAACAAACTCAGTCAACGAGCCTTCTTTATCACATACCTGGCTTGTCAAACACCACTTGACCATTTGTTCAGTGTGGACTCTACAGCATATAGTGATGCTAAAGTGGCTTTGGAATGGAAAGTGATGGCCCAGAGGCTTTCTCGTGTTTCTCTTGCAGCAGTGTTTGGGTACAGTGACTGCTGGGTGCTCATATGGCTTGGCCTTGTGGGTTGACAGGTCTTCTGAAATGCCCCACCAGTGTCATAGTACAGAGTCCCCTAAGGAGAGTCAGTCATACTAGCTGACATGTAATTCCAGCCTAGAAACATGAGCCAGAAACAAATCACATTTGACATAAAACAGAGCAGCAAAAGCCACATTTTCAAGGATGTATTATTTTTGAATGCATAACAGAAATACATATAGTTATGGATATCTTTTCAGAACAATAAAGTTTATTCTGACTTAACAAAAATGTAAACCGCATGTATAAAAACATATACTAAATACAAAGCAAACCTGACATACAGAACAGGAAAAAAATGCAACAGACGTGGTGCTGAAATGCAATATGCACTCAGCATTGTGAAATTATAATTCTAACATGTTAATGCCAACAAAACAAAACAGGCTTAAAAATAAATTTTTGATCAATCAAATCACAGCCTCTGTCAAGTGCGCCCCAGGGCAGCTGTGGCTACAATGTAGCTTGCCATCGCCAGTGTGTGAATGACTGAATGTAGTGTGAAGCGCTTTGGGGTCCTTAGGGACTAGAAAAAGCGCTATACAAATGCAGGCCATTTACCATTTACAGCGCCATGCAAAGAAAGTATCAATAATGCTCAAGATATACATTAATCAGCCACCGCATTAAAGCCACTGACAGGTGCAGTGAATGAAATTGACAGTCTCATTTCAGTGCAGTGTTCTGCAGTGGAAACCTTGAGCTCCTGGATGCATGTAGATGTGCCAAATTCCACTTTGTCATATCCACACCCACTGAAATATTGTCACAAATCAAGCCCACACCCATACGGCAGTGAGACTCTTTAATGACAGTGGTCTCTGTAAGGAGGGCAGTGCATACCAGCAAACTGCGAAATCTGCTCATAAATGGCTTGAGGAACATCACAAAGAGCCCAAGGCAATTACCTGGTGTTCAAATTCCCCCAGATTTCAGTCCACCCATGACATCCATGATGGAAAAGGCCTGCTGCTAGTAGCCAAGATTCTGACACACAAGGGAGTCATTCCATCTCAAATCATTTTTTTCATATTTTAACAAGCCAATTATCAGATATTTTTTATATATCTGTCCCAAGTTACAAACCCTGTTTTATTTTGACGGTAAGAGTGACCAGTGAAAATTGGGCTTTTATCTTTAATAGTTTTTTAGATATTCATTCACATTCAATCTGTCCTCTGGCCATTTTTCAAAAAAGAAAAAAAAATCTTAAAAACTATTTAATATATGAAAATAAAACTTCACACCAGTCATTTTATATAGTCAAACTTTGGGCCATAACATTTTTATGCAAATTGGAGATGTCCAAGCAATGCTGCATATAAATTTAATAAATTGTTTCACATTTTCTGAAATACGCAATATGGGCAAAAATATTGAGCCACATTTCTTAAGCTTTGAGTTCAGATGTATAAAATTAAGCACCTATGGACAGGCAGACTGCATGGCTTTGGTTTCAAAAAGCTCACCGAATTTGATTGTGGGATGCTGCCACTCCAACAAGTTAGTTTGTGACATGTCTTGGAAATATTTAGGAATTACATCAACATGGGCATGAAGTAGCAGGTCATGTAAAGTCACCAAGCACAGAGACATGCATAAATTCACCAACACAGCTGATTCACTCCAAAAATTCCTCTGGCAATCAACGTCAGCACAACAGCTGTGTGCTGGAAACTTCAACATACTTTCTATGGCCAAGCAAATCCTACAGGTGTAATGTGTATGTGGCCCTGTACTTTGTCATTTAGTGTAAGTGCAGGGACCACAAACACCTAGTTACAGTTTTCTAGCCACTGATGTCAACACATCATACTTCATGGGTTGGTCATTAATTATGTTTAGACTACTGCTGTCATGCCATCAACAAACTAATAATGTGTGAACAGATCATGTCCGAGAACTGAGTACAAAGCACTATACAATATACTCTAGAAATACTTCAAGGACCTGAGTTGTAATTAAATGAAACTCTGACAGCAAGCACACCACTATACTTACTGTATTGCTTATTTGTGCACTTGCTTGGACATTGGTTTCTTGATGGGCTCATACAAATAGCTTTTTTTTTTTTTTTTGCAATGTAGTTCAAACCATAAATAGGAGCATATTTCAGCCAGACTGAGAGTACAACAGTAGTCTAGGTTTGGGATATTTTGTATTCAGGAATATCAGAAAATTTGGCCAGTAACACTTTTACTTTATATTTTATCCATAGCTAGTCTACTCACTAATATTTATTTTATGCCAGTAGATTTATATTACAGCTATGTTTATGAGCACAACAGAACATGTCTAAGTCCCGGTATGTAGAGTTTCTTTAAATCATCAATGCTACGTTCAGCTAACAACTTCAAACCTGCAAAATTTGGCCTCTGTGACTTTTTCTTCCTAGTACATCATTTTCATCTCATTAGTAGACTGAACTTACTGTCAACATCAGTGGGGAGTGTGGCTGTCTCTGTGTAAAAATGTTCTTTTGGAGTGTGCCAAGAAATACTGCAGGCAGGTATTTGTGACTGGCGGTCTTTAATCAAGCTAAACTTGCTTTTTTCTGTCTGTCCCTGCAGGTTTCCTCTCCTGAGTGGTTACTGGACTTTGAATCTTGCCAGTCTGAGATCAACTGTCTTCTCTTCAGCACTGTCTAGTTACTGCAATCCAATGGAATTAGACACCATTACTTAATTGCTAGTCTTCTGGCAGTTGGGTGGTATTTCAGGGGTAATAAATTAGCATAAATCTTGCTCTGTCTGGGAATAGAAGATAGAAAAACAACTAAGTAACTTATATTTATTGCAGCTGGTGGAATAAAAGTGGACTAAAGCTGAATTTAGTGCTTGTTACCCTCGTGCCAAGATGGAGGAAACGCATAACAACAGGACTTCCTTGGTCAGAGGTGCCAAGGACATCGCTAAGGAAGCCAAAAGGCAAGCTGCCAAAAATTTCAGCAAAGCTGTTGATCGAGCCTCTGATGAATACTCATCCCAGCGCAGCTACAATCGTTTCCAAAATGAGGATGAAGAAGAGAACAACTACAACAGTTATACTCAACAAGATGGTCTTTATGCCGACAATGCAACCAATGAAGAGGACGGGGCCTCTAGTGATGCCACGGAGGGTCACGATGATGAAGATGAGATCTATGAGGGGGAGTACCAAGGAGTGCCTGGATACAATGATGGGAAGCCACGGGATGGTCAGGTTGCTCTGGGCCAGCCAGTGTCTGACAGCCTAAAGAGCCACAAGGAACTAGAAAATGAGAGACAAGCAGATGAGGAAGAGCTGGCCCAGCAGTACGAGTTGATCATGCAGGAGTGTGGCCATGGGAGATTCCAGTGGCAGCTGTTCTTTGTTCTAGGTCTGGCACTCATGTCCGATGGAGTGGAGGTGTTTGTAGTGGGCTTTGTCCTGCCCAGCGCTGAGACAGACATGTGTGTTCCCAACTCTGGTGCTGGATGGCTTGGTAAGGTTTTTTTCTTTGAAAAAGATGTTATATTAAGAAAAATATTACATTTTTGATATTATTCACTGAATGATTTTGACGTCCAAAGAGTTTTCCTCGGTCTTCAAAGAAGTCTGCATTTTTTACAAAAATTACCTTGCAGAGTAAGAATATTACTGTTTCACCACTGATATCACCCTACCATCAATGAGGAACATGAAAAAGAGTTACCACAAAATGGAGATACTCAAATAAAATACATGTAAACATCAAGACTGAGCTTAAATATAGCTACACAATATGGACAAAGGTAATGGACAACTACAAAATGACAACTACAAGAGCTGCTCAGCCATGGAAACCCATGCCATGAAGCTCCAGTCATGCAGTGTTTGTGCTCATGCTAATGCCAGAGGAGGTTTGGGCCCATGCCGTTATTGAGTCAGCAGTGTTTTGAACAGTCGGGTTTACAGGAGCTCTGTTTATGTAGTCTGCCACTTCATGGCTGAGTTGCTGTAGGTGCTTCTCCTTACAGTTGATTGTAGAATAGCTAATAGGGAAGAAATATCACGAGATAACTTGTTGCAATAGTGTCATCTTATTAGAGTACCACACTCAATTTTAATGAGCTCTTTAGAACCATCAATTCTTTCACAAATGTTTGTAAAAGTAAACTGCATGGCTAGGAACTGGATTTTATACACCTATGGAAGTGGGACTACCTGAAATACCTGAAATCAGAGATTTATACCTAAATATCTAATGTTACCTGACTGTGGCCTGCTGGAGGTATTTTGAAAATAACAATTAAGAGCCAAACACCATTCCATGGAGTAGTCTGATATAGATGTGACCTTATCTATAAAACTTGACATAGACTTTTGCGGGAAATCTATGTCTAATTGACATAACCAGAAACTCCTTTTATCCCTACATCTTCCCGTCACTCAAGTTGTTGTGGTATGTGTTGACCTGACATGTAGTCAAGTTTGTGTTTCAGCTTAGCTCAGCGTGTGAGCAGGCGATGACATGGCCACCAGAAAGCAGCAGGGGTTTGAGTCCTGCTTTCTTGTCCATCTCTATTGTCTCTATTCAATATAGGGCAAATGTCAGTCAAATATTTTTAAAAAAAAGAAGGTTGCAGCATAGGGTTAAAATATTCAATTTCAATTCAATTCAATTTTATTTATATAGCGCCAAATCACAACATAAGTCGCCTCAAGGCGCTTCATAGAGCGAAATAGGGTTCGACATTTGCGTTATGGCATTAGTTACTACATAGATCTGACGATTCATCTGTTAATGTGACAGTCTTCAGAAAAGAGGTTTGTGAATTGCCAAGGAAAAGTAATACATCATCAGTAAAAGGCTTATCCTAAAGTACAGTGGAACCCCAACTTAAGAAATTAATTCGTTCCCGAGGGTCTTTCGTAAGTCGAAAATTTTTGTAAGTCGAAGCACCCATTGCGCCTTTTGAGTGAACGATAGGCTATAGGCTAATTGCTAACTGCAACAACAATACATCGTTCAAGTGGAACAGCGAAGCGCAAGTACGAAAGCCAAGGGGGTTGTCACATGATTCGGAAGGCATTGTAGGCATTGTAGGCATTCTGGGCTCAGCCAATCAGAGCCAACAGCTTTCGTTACTCGGGCATTTTGCCGTTAAGTGCCTTCGTAACTTGAATTTTTCGTTAAGTCGGGGTTCCACTTTATTAATATCTTTTTAATATCTTTATTTTTTTGGATTGCTACTGCTACTGGCTCAGTGAAGACAACAAGAAGCGAAGGGGAGAGTAGGCCACCGAGCTTGGTGCCCTTGTGCAGACTGAAGCTTTTGTCTTAACACATGCATTTGGAGATCTTTGTAGTGTTTTGTTCCAGTCTATGAAGGAAGAACCAAATCCAAATTTGCACAGAATTACAACTCATTCTCTCTCACTTTTCTCCTACGCCTCCACACCTGTCAGCTCTGGCTGTGAATATACTAATGTGAATAATACTATAAATAAATGAATTGAAACAAAAAGAAAAAAGACAAATGAGGAACTCTATCGAAGTCCTCCTAGCAAAGAAAATGTGTTTAGTGTATGTCTAGTTCTCTGGCTATTAATTTTACTGCATACAATATACTTTTCACTGTTGGGTATGAAAACTGACTGGGCCATTCCGAGCCAATTAGAGACAGCTGTTAAATATCAGTTTGCTATTCCAGAAGAACTTTTTATAGCCATTTTTTAGTCAGATTGTTCAATTAAGTGACCAGGGTCCAGTTTTCATTATTCAACTTAACAGGTGTGTTTTTAATCTTGTTTTACTCATTATTTTGAAGTAAGATTCAGATTTTTTTTTAAAAGTGATTTTTATTGCACTTTAGTTAAGCAACGGGATTGAGTTGCTTTACTTTAGTACTTTGAGCTAATGGCAATGTTAGCATGGCAATAATTTATACACATAAAATAATAAAATGTCTTCATCTTTAAGACAACAATAGACAAACATTACTTTCTTAACTTTTTTTTAGATAAAACATATGATTTTTTATATAAAGTTAAGCAATTCTTTGCGATTTGTTTAATTCACCAATTTTTGTGTGTGACTTGTTTCATTTCAGCTCAGTGTGAGAGTCATTGACATAGAGAGTATAAAGGACAAAGCTAATGTGACATTCTTCAGCTCCTCCCATGCCATTCATGCTCTCCATATACAACACAGTTTCTGTCCCTCCATACATAGGACTCAGTTCTGCGTATATGCACCATCTTTGTTTACTCTTTCCCACCCAGGCTTTTAGAGTTCTGATTGGCCAACATTTCTACACGGTTAGGAATATATCGCCACCTGTTGCTTTGGCATGTTCCTAGCAACGTTTTCCTTCGTTTTTGGGTTTACATGTGAACGGAATTTAAAAAAAATAACAAAAACGGAAAATCTCAGTTTTCAAAAATACCCGTGTAGGTGTGGACGTAGCCTAAATGGAATTACATTGAATAGATTTGCCATGTAGATTAATTCATTGTCACCCATACCTCATATAGCTGAGTCAGCATCTGAGCAATATTGAAATCGGTGTTTGGATAATTATTACTTTGTTGTAACAATTCATATTGGCAAAAAATAAACAAAAGAAATAAATGACCAAAAACAAATTGCCTTACTTTTTGTGTAAGGCAATTTGTTACAACAAGTTACAAGTAGACTCCTATTTTGAAGCGCTCTAATGAACCATCTAAAAGTCATCTAACATTGCTATCAGGAGACATTAATGCTTCTGTAAAGTCAGCTTTGTAGACATGGAGCATAATCTTATTGATGCTCATAAATTAAGTTAAGATTTATATGACACTTATAGACTGGTAGAAGTATTAGAGTGTTGACAGAATTAATCTCATGATCCTAACTTTCACATGATTTGTGCTTTTAATGACATTTGATATGCAGAGAAACTAAGTGGTGTGTGACACTTTTAGCCATAATCTCATTGCTTTAGGAATTGCCAGTGGGTTGTCATGGCACCAGGTATTTGGATAGATGAGTAGGAGGTGTGTTAAGCTAGATGGATCTCTCCCACTCTAGGGAAAAGTTGTCTGTTTGTGTGCCAATATGTATCTGTATGTTTAAATGTGGATGGTGTGTGATTTGGCTTTATCATTTCTAACACAACTATAAAAATACTAGCTTGGCACTGATATTTTTCTCAGTGTGTTTGTGCTAAATGAAAGTTTTTGTCACTTAATAAGATTCTAAGACAAAAAGTCATCCTTGTCTCTTATTACATTATCTTAGTGTGGCTTTATTACCAGAAGTACATGTAGAAGAGAGTACTAATCTTATTTCATGTTTGGGGGAGCAAGATGGTTTATTATTCACCCAGATTCCTCCTGTATTCTGACTCATCCCTCAGTGGGAGACAGGAGGGAAAGAATAGAAAGAATGAGTCATTTCACCAACTTGTCACACGCTGCATAAATAGACGATGCATATATGTGCTCACTTGCAGATATGCTTAAAAGAATAGTAGCACAGTAGCACTCATTAGTTATTTTTATCACAGATTCTCTGTGAAGGTCAGTGACTCTTGAAGTGGTCAGTAAGATAAGTTTCAGTGGACATCTTGTTAAAAGGAAAAACAATGTTAAAATGATAGAGACATCTGCTTATATTTGATTAAAACACTAATCCCAGCTCATACATTAGTGTTTGTGAGGTCTGACTGAGTGAATACATATCTATATGTGATATGACTTAAAAAATCTTTGCCTCTCCCCTCACCAGCTTCAGATTAAAGATATCTCACAGCCTTTTAATATTGGCAACTTCCTGGACACATTTAGTTTTAGGTTCACATCTTTGAGAACATGTTTCAGTAAATTTAGTCAAGAGACAAACAGATTAAAATTGGGTGGATAAAAGTCCAAAGGGGAAGGTGACCTCACTGAACTTGTTTTTGGCCATAACTCAGGAAATGAAGTTTATCATGCATAATTATGATATATTTAATTTTATCACAGTATTTTAGATAGAATAGCTTAATACAAACTAAATAACACCAATAATAAATACATATATAATCACTGCCAGGACACTGCTGTCGGAAGGAAAAACTCCCTTTCAACAGGAAGAAACCTGACTAAGGGAGGGGCAGCCTTCTGCCACGACTGGTTGGGGAGAGAGAAAGAAGACAGGATAAAAGACATGCTGTAGAAGAGAGCCAGAGATTAATAACAGGTATGATTAAATGCAGAGAGGTCTATTAACACATAGTGAGTGAGAAAGGTGACTGAAGAAGAAATACTCAATGCTTATGACTAAATAAGCAGCACATATATTATCATTGATCACTTGCTGCTATTCAATGCACACCTATGAAAAGTCTGGGTAGTCCCAGATCAAAGCCTTACTAACATGAATATATTTATTATTTATATAAAGGAATTATCTCATTTTTATATTTCTGTCCCTGATCTACTCCAAATACTTTCTTTCCCTTTAATATAACGTAAAAGGTGAAATGCTATCTTGAT